CCTTCTCTTTAGCGAGACGCTCAGCCTCCGCCTTGTCGTACCTGGCAGACCACTCATCCTTGGTCTCATCATCTGAGTCGTAGTCCTCGTCCATAGCCTTCCTCTTGCGTTCTGCGGCGAGTTCCTCGTAAGTCTTCGCGGTCTTAGTGAACTGAGCCATAAAGCCGCCTGCCGGAGCACTGCCGAAGTTCGGCTTGAAACCAGCAGAACCTGATGTACTGGTGGAGGAAGCACCGAAGCTTGGCTTGAAGCCAGACGAGGCTGCCGAAGTTTCTGCACCGTTAGTGGTGGGAACTGAGGGCTTGAAACCGAAACTGGGAGTCGATGCAGCTGGCTGCGAGGGCTCGGTGGCGGGCTTTTCAGCTGTCTTTGGGGCGAACAGGCTTGTCGATGACGCTGGCGCAGGTGTGGAGGGCTTGTTTCCGATCGCCTTGGCAAACATGTTTGATGTCGCCGTGGCTGGGGCACTGAGCTTCGGTGTAGAAGCCGAGAGCTGCGGAGTCGGACCAGCAGGTGCTTCCGTCGCACGAGCTCGCTTGGAAGGGGATGGATCGCGGACTTCGTGGCTGTCATCGTTGACCTTGCGCTTCGTGGACAAGCTTGATTCATTGCCGGTGATACCTCGTCCGGCTGCACGTTGCTTCTTCACGTTGTCGATCTTCTTCTTAATGTCGACCGCATGCTGGTAGTGCCAAAGCGACACGCTTGACCAGTCTGCCGTGGGAGGAAGGTTGCTCAGCTGTTGTCGGTACTTTTCGTTCAACATTTGCAGTTGAGCAGTCAGATCGGATATCTGCTTCAGTAGACCGTCGCTGGTCTGCGCGCGAACGGCACCTGGAACAGCCCAGTCTTTGGGAACGTGCACCTTGGGAACCTTGGGCATCTCAGGTGTCTGCGATTCTCCCCTCGACTCGGAGGTAGTACCGTTGAAAATCGATGTGGCCGGCGCAGGGGAGGGTTGCGAGGGTTCCTTCGAAGCGCTGAACAAGTTGGGACGATCTGTCGAAGGTTTGGGCAAGGAGGCAAAGGGGTTGGAAGCCCCAGGTGCAGCCTTGGGTGTTTCTGATGCCGATGTCGATGCAGGGGGGAAGCTTGACTGTGGCTTTTTGAACAAATTGCTGGAATTGTTGTTCTCGGGCTGGAACGTTTGGGAGAAGAGACCAGAGCTGGTTTTGGGCTGAGCAGCAGTGAACATGCCGCCTTGCGACTTCTCCACGTCGGCTGTCTTCGCTGGCTGTGGTGTGCTGAACGGCTGGAATAGACTTGACTTTGGCGCTTCGGGAGCCTTCACTGTTGCTGCGCCCGCATCCTTGTTGGCACCAAATATGCTGAAACCTGAACTGCTTCCTGTAGTGGTAGGTGTGTCGGCTGGCTTGGGAAGTGCCGCGAACGGGTTGGACTTGGGGGTATCGGCAGAAAGGCTGCTGCCAGACTCTTCAGGCTTCTTGAGGCTGCTGAACAGGTTTGTGGGTGCAGCTGCTCCAGAAGACGTGTTTTCGGCGGTCGGGAGGTTTGCGAACGGATTGCTGGACGGAGCAGAACCAAAGAGGTTTGTCGGGGGGGCGCTTGACGTCGTGCTGTCAGACTTCTGTGTATTCGCGCCGAAGTTGAATAGATTCGACGCAGGAGCGGTGGCCGTCGCATTTGGCGTGCCTTGCGCGCTCGTACTCAAGCCTCCAAAGAAGTTGTTCTGCTTCGGCGTTTCCGAGGTACCCTCCGTCTTCTGTGCGTTGGAACCGAAACCACCAAACATGTTGTTCTGAGGCGCAGCCGCCTGCTTGGAGGCATCTTCCTTCTGCGCATTGGCACCAAAGCCGCCGAACGTGCTTGGTTGTGAAGGCGCCGTAGATTGTGTTGAGTTGCCAAATCCGCTGAAGATACCGCTCGTCGCCGGCGTGCTCGTGGTGTTCGAGGCTGTCGTCGTTGCGGCACCGAATGTGAAGGGTGTGGATGCGGGAGCGGCGGTGCTCGTAGCGTTTGGGGCGCCGCTGGTGGTGCCAAACATGCCACCGGGGGCAGCACTCGATGTGCCAAACATGCCACCTGAGGTCGCAGCGCTAGATGTACCAAACATCCCGCCGGAAGAAGCGGCGGTGGATGTACCGAACATGCCTCCTGATGATGGTGCAGCACTCGACGTTCCAAACATGCCTCCAGTAGGCGCAGCGCTGGACGACCCAAACATACCGCCTGTGGGAGCTGAACTGGTAGTGCCGAACATACCGCCTGATGAGGCTGCGCTTGTGGTGTTGTTCTGGCCTAGGCCGCCAAAGGGATTACTTTGCGCCTGGTCGTTGTTGCCAAACATGGACGATCCGCCAAATGCGGGCGCAGGCGTGCTGCCATTGGTCGCGGGTCCCGAGTTGGCCGTCGCGAATGGGTTTGCACCTCCAGCTGTGAAGTTGAAGCCCGCAGACGAGGGCGGTGTAGGGTTGAAGCCTGTGCCCTGGTTGCTTCCTCCGAACGCTGGAAAAGACGAGGCAGCGAAGTTGTTGCTCGGGGCAGCGGACTGCGCGGGTGGGAAGCTGTTGGTCGCGCCGCCGCCGAAGGCATTGCCGCCACCGAAGCCGTTCGCGCCGTTGCTCGCGGGGGCGGGTGTTGAGGCGCCGAAGCCAAAGGCGTTTTGTTGTGGTGCGCCAAAGTTCGCGCTCTGTGATAGACCCTGGTGAGCGCGTGCGTTAGCAAAGGCCTGCATCCTGCGTTGCAACTCGCGTCGCCCTTTCGGGGTGTGGCGGCTGGTCGACATGCTTGCGCAGCCGTCGAGGGTGCGGTGGGGAGTGTGGTGTTGTGGTTGGGGTACTCACGGAGGTGGCGCCTGCTGGTCGTCGGGCTTTCGCGGTCTTGATTCTGGGGACAAAGAGTCAGCACGCGACGGACAAAGCGCATCGTGACTAGAGAGGTCTGGGATAGACTCCAAGCGATGACTGGTGAGGGTGACTTACTTGCGGGCTGCCAGCTGTGCTGCCGTCGCCTTCTGGGGTACATCCGCGACTTCATCGCGATCGTCGTAGGGGTTTTCGGGCCTCCCCTGGTCAAAAATGTTGCCCCGCTTATTGGACGACATGGTCGCGATCACTCGAGGAGTCTAAAAGTGATGGATGCGGTCGGTGGCTGGTTGGGATGGTTATAACTCCATGGGACGCGCGTGGTGGATGAAGATGGTGCTGAGATGTTTTTGATGTTGGTAGGGAAGTTGCGACCCGTGCTCGACGTCAGGGTGGGCCTTGTCCATTGCCCAGCAACGCCGCGACTTTCTCTCACCCTGACAGCAAACTAGCCAGAGCATAGCAACACCGCATACAAAGGACTAACTATGGCGCTTCTACTTCCATGCGCATATTCACAAACTCTTACCACTACATGTTCTCTCACTCATATCCAACGCCTCTTGTCGGGTAAAGCCATGACCTGCCTTGCAGCACTATCGAATACAAATTTTCGATGAGCCTGAACCAATTCAGACGCTGACTACTCTCGAGCACATTCGTCATCTTCTCGATGCTCGAAACGCGTCCAATATTGTGGCACCGCGTTGAATGGTAGCGCATCACGTTGTGACACAACTAAGAAAAGAAGGTTGTCAAGAATGCATTACACGCATCATTCTGACATGAATTCGATAGGTCATAAGGCGTTTTTCCTCGTGATCGTATCCTACAAGGTGATGTCTTTCCAATGTGATACATCGTTGATGGCGGAACGCGTGCTGGCTCCCGATATGCGTAGCGTGAAGGTTCCAAGATTTCAAGGTGCATGCTGTTGGTGCAAGACCGGCCAGAGGAATCACAGTTTTTGCCCGTATGGGTGTTGTCATACATACTTGACTCTCAAAATCGAGGAACGGTGCACGTGTGGTATCGCTTGAAAGTGTTAGAGAGGAGATGGTTGGACAAGAGTGAGGGGTAAAAGATGTGTTTCATCCCAGGGTGTTTCAGGCGGGCCGCGGTGAAGAGCGCGCACATGAGGAGGTACTCGAGGGCTTTTGTGGGCCAGGCCTTCTCTCGTCACATGCATACTGCGTTGATAACAGCCTTGAATGTCTGATGTGGCTTGGACTAGGACCAGGTTGAGTACTGCGGGGTAAGAGTATCGTGAGATATCAGCCAATTCCACGATGGGCGGAGCACTTGCATGGCTGAGTCGTGCGGGCTATGAGAATCTAGGTCAGCTTCAGCTTTGCAGCATCTCCGCGCCGCGAATCGACTCGTGGCCTCTAGTGACGAAGTGCTGCGCGTTCTGAGCTGCTGTGCCACTAGATTGCGCGGTGTTGATGCGCGACGGGGCATACGGGGCGGGGCGAAAGAGGAGCGAGATGGAGGTAGCGGTACGGAAAGCGCTGAGGCATATCGTCGGACGGCACGGTAGCACTCTATCCCGTGGCTCACGAGCGGTGAGGCTCTCCCAGCCAGTCATATTGCTATCTCGTTCCAAGCAGGCGGCGATTCCGCTTCAGCCGGTCTCCTCTCCTAGGTGTACCTCCACCATCCTGCATCTACTAGAGAAGACGCTCACGGCAGCGAGCGCATATAAGCACCCAGGCCCCTAAACGCCGTGGGCGTCTGCGTCTCGAGGTGATGCTCCTCTTATCACCCCCGGCAACATAAATCTCTCACCTACTCTCCCACCGCCTAGCCGTCTAGGCGCTTAGAGCTGGGGCCGGCTGCCTTGATCTGAGCGTTCGCAGCTAGTCGGACCAGTCCACGGGTTCCAGCAACCAAGAAACCAAGGAAGCGTCTGCCGGCTAGAGAGGAAACCGCCGTCTTGTCTACGCCATCGCTACCCCGGATCCCGCGCACGAGTTGACACCTTCGTTTCGTCACCATTTTGTGGGCGCTTGACAGCCGCGGAACCATCGGAAGATTGCCGCCAGTCCTGGTCCTGACGTTGGCTTGGTGATATGCTATTGCGTGCAACAACCACCTGCGCCGATCTCTCCTGGTCTACTTACAGCGTACTTTGACATGCGCCGATAACACGCGCGAGCACTCACTCCGCCCACGATGTCCAACCGGCATGCGCGTCTCCATAAACGAGGCTACTCAGCCTCCGCTGTATCGAGTCCGCGCCCTCTGAGCCCCGTTGCTGACTACGATGTCGTTACCTTTAACCGTTCAGACACGCCCAAGGTCTACGAAGAATCTTGGATAGAGACACAACGCCCCATGCCGTCTGCGACTTCCTCCCACCAGCTCAAGATCAAGCCTTACCTGCGCAAGCTCTCGTCCAAGGAGACCAGCGGGCTCGATCTATCACGCCCTGCTGCCGAGAACGACCTCACCGGTCTGGGTATTTCAGAATATGGCGCCCACTCACGGTCCATATCCGATGTTTCTTTTTCGCCCGTCAACGGCCGCCACAGACACAATCGCTCCACATCCAACACCTCGCAGTTCTCCTCGTCGTCTGGTCTGCAGCGGCCGACGCCCCTGCCTGCCATCCGCCAGACTCCGCAGCCATACACACCGCCAATAGCCCACTCGTCGCCGCCATCAATTCTCGGGAGCGAGCACGAGGGCGATGATATCATGTCGGACGACGAGTTCCGCTTGAGACAAAACGCGTATGAACCCGCGCGCAGATCCGGTTCCATCTCCTCGGCACAGGGAACATCCCTACGCATCCACACCAACAACTCGTCCACCCGCCTTGCTGGCAGCTACTCCCAGTCGTCCGTCTCGCTCACCTCTCCGATTGCCCAACCCAGGGCGCGTGGTGACACGCTCAAGTCCATCGACACCACCTCGCCCAGTTCGCGTACCTCCTTCGATCAGACCTACCGCTTTATCCGCGGCGGCCGTGACTCCCCCGTAGACCCAGCCTCGAGAGCTGCCTCCATTCGTGCTGCGCGACAGAAGTTCGAGGAGGAGCAGCGAGCCAAGGAGCGAAAGTACGAAAAGGTGGCACACAAGCAGCAGGAACGCGACTACCGCAAGCAGCAGAAGAAGGAGGATCACCAACGTCGCAAGTCAGAGACGCTCGACCGATCAGAGATAAACCGCACGCGCACTGTATCCACCGACTATGAGAAGACGCCACGACCCTCGATAGCCGGACGCCCTTCAGTGGGTGGACGCCAATATTCAGACCACCGTGAGGCACACTCCAACTCGCTGCCAAAGCTTGTGGCAACCGTCGACCCCGAGAAAGCAGCCGTCTTTTCCTCTACGCCCAAAGTCACCAAAAGCCGAGCTGCGAAGGGTACGTGGCAGCGTTTCGTAATCTGGCTCAAGACTCGACTGCTGCGCATGTCTGGAAAGTAGGCCGCATGCACCGCCACAGACACGCGCAGCGGATGTGGGCAACCTAGCCGCGTAAGCAGTCGCCTTAGGTGCCACCCCGCTACCTCTAACCCCGATGCCCTACACACCCCTCTCACTTGGCCCGACACTTGAGCAGATTGGTTTTGCATCTTATCCTTATACCCCATTCTTTCTTGCATATATTCTTTCGTGTTTTTAGCATGGCGTTTGGTTTGGGATTACGGCCTTTTTCATGATACATGCTCCTCCCATGCTTATGCTATACATCTTGCGAGCATCTTCAGAGACTTAGCATTCTCCCTTTGGGCGCATTGGTAGAGATTTGCTTTGCTTACTTGCTTTTCACCATATCTTACACACTCATCACTTGGACATGCACAGGCGTTGGATACGCTCTGGGTACCTCTCTCAAGGCCAGCACTATGTGTCTGGCGGCGTTGCGAGAATTTGGGTACGGCGACTGGGTTTGCTTTCGGTATAACACGCTCTGGTATCGACCATCGAGCTTCTCAAATGCATTCTATCCTTATCGAATCTTTATCGACTACATGTGATGCTTGCTTTTGTTCGCATGTCGTAATTTGACAGGCTTACACGTGATGACGCATCTTTTCTAACAGATCCCGATGTCGTGATATCTGCCAGTAATTGCTCAGTATGAGATTACGCATGAACGCTTCTCCACAACCACATAGAATGCTCATCACTAGTTGCGACATGCATAGAGAACTCTTGGCGGTCTCTTAAGTCCGGGATTTACCCGCGCAGCATCATCGTTCAGCTCACATGCAAAGCTTTCCCCGCTTTTGTCGCATCGACGCCTACGACATGAATCACCGTTAATTCTAGTCGCAATGCCTCTACGAAGCCTGCCACGAGGCTCATTCGCCGTAAGAGGCGCAACGGGAGGAGCGCTATGGCGGACTTGCGGAGCTGGTGCGGGAGTCGGAAGAATAACGCAGAGGCGATGGGCGAGCGAAAGGAAACCGATGGGCCGGGAGGACGAAAAGCCATTCTACCTGCAACTCAATGAGAGTATCTACGAGCGTGTACAGAAAGAGAAGGCCGAGCAGATCCAGATCCAGTCATTACAGCAAAGAACGGCAAGAGGACAATTCTTTGCGACGGTGTTTGGTACCAACAGTTCATACACCCTATTTTTCGCATATACTAACAGTTGAGTAGCATGTCTTATGACCGCAAGCATCGGCTACTACTATGGCCAGATGATGCCTCCGATCGCAGACACGAGTTCGACCGCACCACTCGAGACCTTCAATCCTCCTAAGCATAACATCTCAGAGGCAAACATGGAAGCAGCGTGGACAGACTTCCGCGACATTGTCGGAAAGGAAAATCTTACACTGGATCCCAACGATTTAGAGTCGCACAGCGGATCATCGTGGTCTTCGCATCCCTCTCAGCCGGGCGATGTGCCATTCTGCGTCGTGAAGCCAGGCAGCACACAAGAAGTCAGCGCGATCATGAAGGTCTGCCACGAACGCAAGATACCAGTCACTCCGTACAGCGGAGGTACAAGCTTAGAGGGTCACTTCGCAGCAACAAAGGGTGGCATTTGCATCGACTTCAGCCGCATGGACAAGATTATAAAGCTACACAAGGACGATATGGACGTCGTGGTTCAACCAGCAGTGGGTTGGGAACTCTTGAACGAAGAGCTTTCGAGAGAAGGTCTTTTCTTCCCTCCCGATCCAGGTCCAGGCGCAATGATCGGCGGCATGGTCGGGACAGGGTGCTCCGGTACCAACGCATACCGTTATGGCACAATGAAGGACTGGGTCGTATCGCTCACTGTAGTCCTGGCTGATGGAACTGTCATCAAGACGCGACAACGGCCGCGAAAGTCTTCCGCTGGATACGACCTTACGCGCATGTTCATCGGTAGCGAAGGCACGTTAGGTCTCGTCACAGAAGCTACGCTGAAAGTCATTGTAAAGCCACAACACACCAGTGTAGCCGTATGCGCGTTTCCATCCATCCGCGCAGCAGCAGATTGCGTCTTCAAGGTCGTTGGCGCTGGCGTACCTATCGCTGCCATTGAGATACTCGATGATGTTCAGATGCAATGTATAAACGACGCGGGACAAACTTCCAAGACCTGGAAGAACGCCCCAACACTCTTCTTCAAGTTCGCCGGCACTCAAAGCTCCGTCAAGGAACAAATTAGCCAGGTGCAAGGTCTTGCCAAGAAGACCGGATCAGTAAGCTTTGAGTTCGCCAAGTCCGAACAAGAGAAGGAGGACCTATGGCAAGCGCGGAAGGAAGCACTCTGGAGCGTAATGGCCAAGGGCGAGGGCAACCCAGACATGGCTGTCTGGACCACAGACGTCGCCGTCCCGATATCCAAGCTGCCACAAATCATCGAAGAGACCAAGGAGAAGATTCGACAGAGTGGACTACTCGCCAGTATCGTAGGACATGTTGGAGACGGAAACTTCCACTGTAGGTCTATGCGTGCATCCTCATCTTATGACTCTTTCGCTTACATATCATCCTAGCCATCATCCTCTACAACCGTAACCAGGACTTCGACAAAGCCTCCCACCTCGTCCACGAAATGGTCAGGCGCGCTATCGAACTCGAAGGTACAGCCACAGGTGAACATGGCGTCGGCCTCGTCAAGAGAGACTACCTACCACACGAAGTGGGTCAAACTACGGTGGACGCAATGAGGCAGCTCAAGAAGGCATTCGATCCTCTTTGCTTACTCAACTGCGATAAAGTTGTTCGGGCGACGCTGCCCAAGCAGGGTGAAGTCGCTGAGTGGTAAGGTGTATGGCCATAAGATCAATTTCCTGTAGGAATACACTTTTCAAGGAGGTCTGCACACTCCGCTTTGTATGCGATTATGTATTACTACTTCTTCTCCAGCCTCAGTCATGTGCTTTCTCATACTTGCACACTAAACAAACATCCCATACACCCAATACCCAGGGTTCCTCCACGCTCCGTTAAGCCACACTTGCCCCTCTTCATGCTTCCATCCCAGTTTCTTGAAGCCAACTTTCTCCAGTACCTTTACACTACCGGGGTTATCTTCGTCTACTGCTGCTTCGATGTACGTCCTCCCTTTTTGTGGTTCGATTCCGTCGTTGTCTTCTTGAGCGCCCGAGAATGAGGAAGATGAAGATACGAAAGCAGTATAGGCGTTCAGCAGCGCATGACCGGCTTCCGTCGCATATCCCTTTCCCCACGCTGACGGAAACAAGGCGTATCCCAGCACCCTCATATTGGTCGTTGTGAATGTCGATGGGATTGGGAGAGAAGGACCGCTAGGTTGAAGACGTAGGCTTACGCTGCCTATATGCTTCCCCAGCCCAGTGTCATCATCGCCAATAGAGGCTGAGTTCGATGTATCGGATTTGACGAATACAGAATAAAACATGCTATCGTGTCCAGGCGCCAATTGCTCTTTCATCCACTCGTAGCTTTCGGGGAGGGAATGCGTGGGCCCGTGCAGACTCCATGCTGTGGCGTCGGGATTCGACCAGTTTTCGTGGAAGAGGTGGACGTGTGGAGATGAAGGGGATGAGGTGTCTGTTAGGCGGAGGAGCGTTAGGCGGGAGGTGTGGAGGAGTGCTTCCATGGCTTGAGAGGCTCGGATTGAGATAGGTGTGTTTGATCGTAAAGTATGGGAGCAGTCAAGAGACCTATGAAGGCTGATGTACTTATAGCGGAATCAATACATGTCAGGTGCAAGGAGTCACGTCAAGGATGTATGAGTCAATGGCGCTTAGTCTTGATGATGAAGCTTTCGTGTGGATATGGGAGGTGCGAATGACGTTGGCTCTGACGACGTCTCGCATAGTCGCCCATCCATATCCGAGGAAAGAACTAAGCACCCTGCAGTCTACATTGGTGTTCAAATAGAAGTTAGCAAAGTCTTAACGCAATGTAGACTTCTAGGTTCTTTACATCTATTATCCCCTATAGGTAGATGTTCATCCTTTTCCTTAGATGGCGTGCGCCTAAATTTGACAGTCTCCCAGTATGTGCGAATTCGTACGTATGGTTTGTGTGAAAGATGTTGAGCTTGTGAGATGCCCCGGTGGCTATCAAATTGTAGTCACGTGAAGACGCGGGGACGCGTAGGCTAGCGCGCTTTCCCAGCGGCATCTCACATGGGCACTTTCCGTCTTCGCCTGTTCACTTGAACACACCAAAATCAGATTTCGCCAAAAACGATGACATTACGCGACAACCTCAGTCAGCAGGTTCTTTGGCCACACCGGCCGATCGACACCATTTCCTCGCGTGCCTATACTGTACCCCAACTTCACATTTCCCTGTGGATATTGGATGATCGGCTTGACCCCCTTGATGTCCTTACCGATGGCGCCCGCATGTCGCATCTCGAAGAAATCGGGTTTGAAGAGCACGGATCCCGAATTCTCGAATAGCATCTTCATGTAGCGCGGCAACGTATACTGCATGTTGTGGTAATGGCGGAATACTTGGCGACCATTGCGAGTCCAAACGTCTTCCCAGACATCTGTAGGGTAGGTGCCGACGCTGTTTACCAACCATTGGGAGTAGTAGTTTAAGGCAATCTGTAGAAGTTAGCGTCTATAACGCTACCGAACGGTGGAGCTGACTTACATCGACTTTGTAGGAACCGCCTTCAGTACCCCTTCGGATTATCGCGTTCAAGACGGCGATCACCCCAGAAGTACCAGTGCAGAAGTCGCTGTTGGGGAAAACTGGTGTAACAGGCTCGTCATTGCCCATGGCTCGTCCAAACTCCATCGAGACGCCACAGCACGCGTCAGAGATTTGTTGCCACCCGCTGCGATACGACCAAGGACCATACCAGCCATAGCAGTTCTCCCGCACAACAATGAGACCTCGTTCTCGATCTTTCGTCAGATCGAGTAGGCCTTCGGGCGAGAAGCCATATTTATCCAGCACGCCAGGTCGATAGCCTTGTACTACGACATCGGCTTCTCGTACTAAAGCGCGCAGCTTCTCTCTGTCCTCTTCATTCCGGAAATCCAGATGCGCGTTCCACTTTCCCCAGCTAAGATCGACGTGTAGCATGGACATATCAGTGACATGCTCTGCTGTTACTCGCATCACCGAAGCACCCAACTCAGCGAGGCCTCTGGTTAGAGCCGGAGCAGCGATAACACGGGTCAGATCGACGACTTTGAGACCTGCAAGCGGTCTCTTTGCGCCAGTTTCCGGGCTATCTGGCCACCAGCACGCCGGTTGTTTCACATTCTTGATATCGTGGATCTCGTAGAGGCCTACATGGGCATTTGCTTTTCCATGTTCGCTATTCTTGAACTCCTCGGTTGTCCAGCAGATGGTACCAGCTTGCTTGTAGACGTCCGACGCCAACCTTTGCATCTCGTCAGATTCAATGCCTGCTAGCTTTTCTTCGTACGGTCTCCATGGATCCTCCGACTCAGCCAAGTCCATATCATGCGGTAACCCAACACTCTCTTGTGTGGGTTCAGGGTTCATGGAGCCATGTAAATGGAAGTACCTTCCATCTTTGCAACGGTAGATGTTCGTAGCCGCCACGCGATACGGAGTCCTACTAGTATCATGCAGATCGCAGTTCTTGAAATATCTATTGTATACGTCCGATCCACTCGCGAATGGTTTCGTCAAGAACTCGATGTGCTCGCCATCGGGATCGATGACGTTCAATAGGATCGACATGAAGAAGAGTTGCGCATGGTCGCTTCACCGAAACGCGTTAGCTACTCAATGGCAAGAACTCCTTATAATAGAAACACCTTATACAAGAAGAAAACCGAACAGGCCTGCTGCCTACATTGACATGGAAACCTACAAGATAGGTGACCTAGCGTTAATGTAGGCTGTAGGCCTGTTCGGTTTTTTCTTGATTAGCGTGGAAGCTCGGATATTTCAACTTACGTATCTATGACAGCGTCTTGGGGTTCCAGTCCATATTTCTGCTTCAAAAGGACATTGATCATGGCGGCTTCCAGCCCCTTGAGTGCCGAGATGCTTTCGGCGAAGCGCCAGTTGATGGGTATACTAGGCTTATCGCTGCCTTTGAACTGGACTTTCTTGGCGCATTCTGCGATGTCGTTGGGTAATGTTGGAGCAATGAGGGGATTGCTCAATATGCCCTTCTCGAAGATGTGTTGGGTTTCGCGAGGGACAGAGTAGTCCTTGTGGCTACCATTCGTGCCGGTAGTATGGCCGTTCGTCATAGTGTTTGACATTTCAAATAGTTGTGGAGCCTTGACTTCGACTTGGGAGAACTGAGAGTGTGGCAACGAGACGCGGATAGCATGAGCTTTATCGTTTGTGCTGTCCGAAACACGTCCCACTCGACCCCATCAGCTACTTGGTCGCCTGGTAACATGGTGCAAGCAACGCCAATCGGCGCACCAGCTCCATCGTCCTAGTTGTCACCGGTCTTACTCAAGCACTGCCGATCATGGTAGATGGACGGCAATTCGTTTTCGGCCCTCGGGCGAGTAAGTCGACTAGCTCAATCTACCCGACAAGGTGGGGTATCACCCCGCAATCTGGATACACGTTACGCAAGAAGAGGATCACATCTGTTAAGATAGTAGTATGATGTGGACATGTTCGTGATTGGAAGTTTGGTGGGAGGATTTAAGTTGCGGCTGTATCGCGATAATGCAAGTCTTCTTTACACGCATGTGCATGCGTTAGCGATCTAATCCTAGAATACACAAAAAATTGCACCACAAGGTCTTTCTCGGCTATCTTTATTGAAACAGTAGCTATGGCATCGTCGGACTACAGCACGAGATGGACAGCGCAGCGCGGAAGCCGTCCAGTGAGGATAGCAAATTGCTCAGGCTACAAAGGTGATACGAGCCCTACGTATGCTAAACCAGTCTGACCAACGCAAGGTGATCCCGGATATCACATGCTCTACCAAGCAGAGCTAGGAGATACAGACTTCATTACAGGTGACTATCTTGCCGAAGTCAACATCGCAGAAAACGCCCAGGCACATGCAGCGGGCAAGCACCCTGGATGGGAGAAAACAGCTTGGGATGGTATCGAGCAGACGATCGACTTATTGGATGAGAAGAGAATCAAAGTCGTTGTCAATGGTGGAGCGCACAATCCGAAGGGATTGGCCGAGAAGGTGCATGAACTCGTGAGTCTTCCCTCATCGATTTAGTCGCTACACGGTCTAGTTAACTGACAGACGAACAGGTCTTAAGTAAAGGATATGATATGAAGGTTGCGTACGTGTCTGGCGACAACCTAATGGACGAAATGAAAGATATCAAGGAGAAGGGCCTACCGCCGCACCTAGACTCCGACAACAGCGAAGTAACGGTCGCGGACCACACGCTTGACGTCCTAAAAACCGACAAACCGATCGTCAGCGCGAACGTCTACCTCGGCGCTCGCGAGATTGTCAAAGGTCTCGAAGAAGGCGCAGACATCATTATTGCTGGTCGTGTTGCGGACGCCAGCCCCGTCATCGGTGCTGCATGGTACTGGTACTCGTGGCGTGACACCGACTTCGATGCACTTGCAGGAGCCCTTATTGCGGGTCATCTCATCGAATGCAGTGGCTATGTGACAGGCTCGAATTTCGCGGGCTTCTACGAGTATCCATTGGATGACATGTACGACATCACTTTTGGTATCGTAGAAGTCGAAAAGGACGGCACATGTGTGATCACGAAGCATGAAGCGAGGAAAGGTTTTGTTACGGAAGACACTGTCAAGTGTCAGTTTCTGTACGAGCTTCAGGGCAATGTATATCTGAATAGCGATGTCAAGGCTATCTTGAATGAAGTTCAGGTCAAAGCTGAAGGCAAGAACAGGTACGATCAGTTATCCCTCACTTACATGGCATGCTGGAAGGAGCGATCTCGCTAATATTCAGAAAGAGTTCGCTTGTGGGGCGTCAAAGGCAAACCACCCCCACCCACTACGAAGCTCGCAATATTCTATCAAGCAGGTTACCAGTCTGAGATTGTTGTCAATGCAACTGGTTACGCCACGGCTGAGAAATTCGATCTCTGGGAACGCATGATCAAGTTTGGCCTGAAGCAGAAGGGCATACTGGACAGATTCGACATCTTGGAATTCCAGCGCATAGGCATGCCGGAGACCGATCCGAAGAGCCAGCTCAGAAGTACATCGTATTGTCGCATCTTCGCGGAGAGCGGCGATCCAAACGTGAACCTGGGTCTAGCGAGTCTACTGGCAGACTTTGCGATGCAGCACTACTCTGGCTTCCATAGTACGATGGACCATCGTACGGCGATTCCGAAACCGTACTTGAGCTTCTATCCAGCGATTTGGCCGCAAAATAAGCTAAGGACGGCGATCAATCTACTCGAGTCTGGTGATACGAGGACATTCACGACCACGCCGCCACCGCAGTCGGAAGAGATTGGGAGACGGGAAAGCTACGAGACTGTGAATCCCGTAGATCTTCGGTCTTTTGGCCCAACAACGCGTGCGCGACTGGGAGACATTGTGCTTGCCCGCTCAGGCGACAAGGGTGGAAACGCAAACATTGGCTTCTTTATACCCACGAGCCTACCTTCCTCCTATCCACAGTCATCACCGCTGTATGCCGAAAGTTGGGACTGGCTCCGCAGCTTTCTCACCATGCCCAAACTCAAGGAAATGTTCGGAGAAAGCTGGAACGACAGCTTTTTCATGGAAAGGGTGGAGTTCGAAGGTATCATGGCGGTGCATTTCGTGGTTTATGGGGTGTTGGGCAGAGGCGTTAGCGGGAGTAGCAGGTTGGATGCTTTCGCGAAAGGTACGATATGTCCCTGTACGAACTGCATATGAGACATTGACTGACTTCGTACACCCACCTCTTAGGTATGGGCGATTGGCTGAGAGACGTAGAAGTCGAGGTTCCGGTGAAGTTCATAGAAGGAAGGGCCCGCGGCAAAGCGGTGGCTGGAAGGTATGCGGGGGATGCGTGACCGAACGGTCTGGTTGCCAGACTTCCATCGCGTTTTCAACGCGCGTTTGTTGGAGCGCGACGCGGGCATCCGTGATTGTGGCCGAGGTTTAGAGGACCCTGCCAAGCCACCAACGATGACGTAGACGGGTAGGTGACAATCAACTCGGGCTTTGTTGCGCGTGCACAGCCACAACCGGCCACCTTCGCTACATCATCATTCAAGTGCGCCCGCTTTCCTAGTATGTGACTCAACAATACTACTCACCCCTGATCACGATCTCTTTGACTACCTTCCGCTCAACCAACAAATTAGAATAGGGCATCTTTCGACACTGCTCCGAGTTTCCAGCCCCACCATGTTCAAGAAGTTCAAGGACAAGATAAAGGGCGATGACAGCTCTTCCAGGCCTTCATACGGGACAGACCAACACAATCAGCATTCAAACAACCCTTACTACAGCTCGCCTCAAGACCAGCAGCATAACATAGCGCCGACGGAGAAGTATCAAGCACCGCCTGGCCCGCCGCCGAACCAGGCTTCATCCTCGTCTGGGTACTCCGCTCCGCCAGGTCCTCCACCGAGCCACGGGTCGTCCTCTTATACTGCTCCTCCGGGGCCTCCACCTAAACAAGAGTTTTCAGGTTACGCACCCCCAGCAGGGCCACCTCCGTCGTATCCACAGCAACCCCCTCCTAGCTGGGATCCTCCGCCATACCACGACTGGACAGTCGTACCTGACACTTCTCTTCTGCCCCCGCCACCTTCGATGGGTTACGATAGTTCTCCCACTGCTAATGCATCTACTGAAGATGGCGATCGTGCCTTGGCTTGGACCAACATGAATCCTTTGTGGCCACCGCAGAATCTGCAGCCTAGCACTCATGCTGCGATTCAGAACGGTCAGCTTGCTCTACTAAAAGCACCGTCTTATCTGGGTGATCTACTCCCTCAACCTCAAGCAGGCCACTGGCGTTGTCGCACCCATGCGAATTGCAGAGACTCGAGCATTCTCACAAATCTGCCTATGTACAGCGTGTTTTGGGACTCACCGCTGAACACACAACGCTCCAAGACTGTGTACTTCGAACTCAAAGTCCTTGGAATCGGTCGCGGTGGCTTCTCATTCTCGGAAGCAGACGCTGGTATCGCGATAGGCTTCGTCGCGCCGCCTTATCCTACGTTCCGTCTCCCAGGCTGGGAGCGTGCCAGTCTTGGAGTGCATGGAGATGATGGAAGAAAGTACGTCAATGATGCATGGGGCGGCATCGACTTCACCTCGGCTTTCAAGCCCGGCGATACTGTAGGGATCGGTATCACCTTCTCGGTTCCGCGCAACCCACCATCATACGAGCAGTCGCAACAAGGAAGGATGCTAGATATCGACGTGTTCTTCACGCGTAATGGAGTAAAGGAAGGTGGCTGGAATGGCAACGAGGAGCTCGACGTACGAAGCGAGGGGGGCAATACTGGTCTGAGGGGCGAGTGCGACCTATTTCCCGCGATTGGCGTGTTTGGCGGTGTGGATTTCGATGTCTTCTTTCATCCATCGCAGTGGCTATACCGCCCATACTGAGATAGCCTGGGTACTTAGTCAAGGCTCTCAGGTAAAAGCAGTATGTCATTTGTGGTGAGATAGACGTCATGCGACCTCATTTATATGCCGTACGACTAATGCTAGTATGTCTTCGAATCTCACAGCTTGCTTGCTGAGCTCTCTATTTCCTTTCAAGTTACGATTTAGGATACATTCTCCAATCATAATTAATTCCTGATATCGCTCTGATAATCTCGAATCTACAACCGCTCGCCATGTCCTCAATCACACCATACTCATCTCAGGACTTTGGCTATCCGTTGATGCTCGAAGACTACGTCCCGGTCCCTCCTCCACCCACTGCTGTTGCAGATCAGTGCGCTTACTGTCGTACTCCTGGCGCGAAGAAGATATGTGGCCAATGCAAGAGCATGCTCTACTGCTCGCCAGCCTGTCAAGAACGCGACTGGGTCTCCAGCCACAAGCTCGTCTGCAAGCCCTACGCAAAAGCCATCAAACAATACATTCCTAACAACATGCGGCGCGTTTTGCACTTCCCCGTCGATTCAGCCAGACCTGTCTTCTCCGTTCTGAGGTTCGATGAGGAAGGTACGGTAGGCGGCCTCGAACATTACTTTCCCGGGGTACCGGTTTCGGAGATCAAGAAACTATCATTCCACAACCGCCACTTTCCGTACTTCATCCAGATCAACTACGACATGAATGCGAAGGGAGAGCGTGCGCTCCCTGAGAACAAGAGCCTTGGACTGCCGTTTCGCGGTCCAGTCGTCGTCTTGGCATATGACCTGGACATTGCGCTTAGTGGTCCAGCGTTGAACGCTGATGCCTCGATCATGCGGCCTTTGATGGAGTACGTTGAGCTGTTGCGCGAATACGATGGCCCGAAGTTCGTGGAGGTAAGTTGTTGAGAAAGCAGGTTAGGGTGATGGTGCTAATTGTGCTTTGCAGCAGCCGCAACGGAGGTATACGGAGGCAGAGTTGGACATTATTATGGGCTCGGCATCTTCGTCTGGTGGAGGAAGGGTATGAGTTAGTGTGGATGGAGACGAACAAGTCAGAACTTAAGTATGGGAGAGAAAGAGCTTTGCTGGAATGCTGATTGCGGACCTTTCATTGGGTTGTCCTCTTGTTCTTTGGCACATCGAAACTTCCAGGTTATCACGTATGGAAAAGGTAGCTACAATTTAAAGCTATACCATGCCGCCACGCCAGCCTAGGAAAAAGCTGAACACCCTACAGTCTATGTTAACGGCGTGTCACCTACTTTGCACGCTTTTGACTTGATGTAGTCTGCAGAACTGTTCAGTTTTGCCTTTGAACGAGATGCCGCAATGCCCATTACTATACTGCTCATTCCTCATAGATGCTTCAAGATAAGCTCTACCTCTGCATCTGCCGCCTCCAAGATGTGCTTCGGCACATGGTCTGGTCTCCAAGCTAAGCTATAGGCCCTCTTCGCTTCAAGTGTGCATCTGTGTCTGGTGTCAACATCCGGTCCATGCTTGTGAGCATACAAGTAGACTTACTTTCCACCCAGCTGAACTGCAACAAGCTCTTTAGGGCAACCCAATGCCTGTGCCATCTTATCTAGCGCTGCTTCATCCGCTTTCTTAACTTCAGGACTGTCGATAATTCCACGGTTCGCAAGCGCTTTCGCCATTGCGGCGTATATGTCGTACCAGGCCACACTTCCGGAGGAAGCAAGATAGTAACCATTCTCGCCATATCCTGGATTCTCGTCGCGTAAGATACTCTTCAGCAGTTTCACGTACAGTTTTGAGTTATCGTCGATATGACATACGGGCCAAGTCTGAGTATATAGTTAGTATGCGAGTGGTTAGCTTGGTGACTATTCAACAACACCTACCCAGCCTTCCGGGTTGACATCGTACACGGCGCCGGCCCCCTTCGCGGCTTTGACCACAGCTGTGGTTTGGATCGAGATCTTGTTACCAAAACCTTTGCCTTCGCCGTATACGATACATGGGATGAAGATGTAGCTGCGAACTCCATATTTCTCCGCCGTTTCGATGATGACGTTGTTCGTTGCCGTCGCCTGAGGTCATTTGAGTAAGAGAGATTGAACTTGAGCCGCGTGCACGTAGTTGCCTCATACCTGCGTTAAGAGTTGATGAGGAGCCTTGGCACTCTTTTGTAGTTTGTACAGATCCTGATCTGTATCGGGAAGTGGTCGATCGATAGGCATCCCCGCATGTTCGCTGAAGATCTTTGCGCCACTGGTGTGCAAAAAGTGGACTTCGCGTCCAGTTTGCTTCTTGACTTCTGCAAGGCCCTTTATCATAGGTACCTGCATATCGGAGTTCATAGCGTCAGCAAGGAAGAACATGACGGATATCTGCGCATCGACGATGCTCTTGACAACACTCTTTTCATCTTGTAAATCGAGAGTGAGAGGGCGCGCGCCATACTTCTTCACCGCTTCCGCTTGCTCTTGGGATCTGACGAGAGCATACATGTCTTCGTGCTCCGGAAGTACGGTGTTGTGTAGTGCCGTAAGCAGCGAGCCACCGAGATACCCAGAGGCTCCCGTGATAAGGACAGACATTGTGGAAAGTGAGGCTCAGTATGAATGTGTAACCAATGGAGTTCTGTTCCTACATGAAAATGTATTTTGCATCTCAGGCCTATATCAAGTGGTGCTAGAGATCAATCTTGATATGCTTTGTAATGTCTGGTTGGGCGATTGAGCGAGTAACCACTCAACGGCTATCTCGACGAAATGACGTAATGCTTACAAACCGCCAGTGGAGCAGAAATAACCCTGGAGACACCAAACGTCGACAGTTGTAATGTTCGAAAAGAGGAGAAATTCTTGTTGACCGACAGCAGTAGGCTCTCAGCAATCTTGTAGTTTGATTCGTAACACGGTAGCAGAGCAATGCAGTACACAGGCATTCATGCGTATACAACCAGCAATTGGCATCTCTGTTGCATCCGGTGAAGAGTGCGGCGAAGTGAGTCAGACACGCTCGGTTCGGACAGACATGATACGAGCGAGTGGGTTGCAGTACTGGAATAGTATCGGGCGTGAATGCGATGGGCAGCGACGAGCATCTAGCTGCATTCGGCGAGGCTGCAAACACGGCGGATACAGCGCCCCCTGTTCTTCATGTCGAAAAGACGGTGATCGGTCGATGAAGAAAAAGGATCACCCGCTTGTGGCGTCGCAATGCCTGTGGAGGAGAAGGTTTGCCCCGCCAAACAGCGGCTGTCTTGCTGCTGCGCGAGGTCGGAATTTCGTTTGCTCCCATACAGAGTGTTTGGGAAGATGTAGATGGATGTACAGGGTTGGTACGAGGGCATGCAGATGGGTTCAAAGGGCATGTGGCCCGGGGCGAGGCGATGGGAATCTCGGCAGATCGGCATGTACGAGGGGAGGTGCGAGATGCATCTTCGATTGTGCCCGTGCCCACATGCAATCGACGCCAGTACTGGCCGAAGAAGCACCGCCGCAGCCAAAACCGAAGCATCGCATGGGAATAAGATAACCGGGGCCTGACCGCGTCAGTCTGCGCAAACGTCGATTCCTTTTGAGGATGCTGCAGCCACTTTGTGTCTCTCTCGCGACTGCCACCTCTGCGCCGGCAGCTACATGCAGATGCTCACTCCTCCCCCCGACGAAGAAGGCTTCGGCGCTCCTCCCATGAACCCCGACGATGGATGCGCATTCGATTGGACCGCGGCGTTACCTCAGACCGACCATATCGCCTTCTTCCGCACCACGGACTGGTCGCGCAGCCGCCTGGGGCCACTGAGCACGTGGAGCCCGACGCTGCGCATGTTCGCAAGTTATGTACTGGCCGATTCGCGCGGAGCCTGCCTCTGGTGGGGAGAAGACATCTCCAACCTCACTGCCATATACAACGAGGCCTATGCTCCCTTGGCCGGGGGCGCTCACCCCAACCTCATGGGCTCCCTATTCCAGGATGGCTTTCCCGATCTCTGGCCGTCCATCAGCCAGTACTTCACACAGGCCAAGCGGACAGGCACTGGAGTCAATTACAGCTCTGCCATGCCCACGGTTGTCGAGCGCAGAGGCTACCAAGAGGAGGCCTTCTTCTCTGGCGGCTTTGTTCCAGTCGGCATGCCAGGCGCTGTCGAGGGCTTCATGAATACAACGTGAGTTACGTGTAGTAATCAAGCTAGAAAACGCGTTTTACAGTGACCTATTTCCAATACACAGCTGACCCAACTAGCTACGAGGTAACAAGCCAGAAGCTCGCAGACCGCCGTACCAACTGCCTGAATACTCTCGCCTCCGTGCCCTCACAATGTGTCGACGCAGTCTGCTCTCACATCCTCACCACGCTCGAAACCAACGCCAACGATGTGCCCATGTCCATGCTCTACCGAATGGACACAACCCCAGGCTCGAACGAGTTGATACTCCATGGCCAATTTGGTTTCCCCGAGGGGCACGACCTTCTCATCCAGACAGCCACTATCGACAGTGAGCAAGGACTAATACCAGATCTGCGACGAGCTGGCATAGACACTATGGTCATCGAGCATGATGAACGATTTCTTGCTACCTCGTGGAGAGGTTGGAGCGCGCCTTCCAAGAAGATCGTCGTAATGCCCATCATGAGTGGAACACGCCTTTTCGGCTACCTCGTCTTCGGCACCAATCCATTCCGCCCCCACGACGATATATGCACGCAATTTATCCGGGATCTAGGTCGCATGGTGTCAAGTATCATATCTTCTGCCGTTGACAATGAATCCACCAAGAAGCGTCAAGAGCAGCTCGAGACTGATCTGGCTTTCAGTGATCTCAAGCTACGCCATCTGATCGATCACGCGTCTGTTGGCATGTGCCATGTATCTCTTGATGGTGATATGCTATGGGCCAACGATCACTATTATGAGCTAGCTGGGAAATCTCCTTCGGAACATGCCATCGGTCTTGCCTTCCTTGACGCATATCACGATGATGATCGGGTAAAAGCTGATGATGTTTGGGAGCGTCTGATTAGAGGCGCCGACCACGTCACAGCCGACTTGCGCATGAAGCGCATGTACACGCCTCCTACTGGAGATCCCGAACCCGCCCAGATCCAGGTTCTGGCCTTCCCGTACCGCGACGAGCATGGAAGCGTGAGAAGCGTAATGGCTTGTACGACTGACATCAGCAGGCTGTGCTGGGCGCAGACCTTCCAGGCTCGATTAGCCGCCGAAGCAAGAGAAGCCAAAAGACAGCAGGAAGCCTTCATTGACGTAGTTTCACACGAGATGCGGAACCCATTGAGCGCCATTGTACATTGCGCAGATGCGATTGCCAATGCGGTTGTCGAGTGCCAGACGCAGCTCGCCGATATACCTGTACCGTGTCTCGATACTCTCAATGACAACATACAAAGCGCAAACGTCATCATGCAATGTGCAAATCATCAGAAGCGTATTATCGACGATGTACTCACTTTGAGTAAGCTCGACTCCATGCTCTTGTCCATCACGCCCGTCGCAGTCAAACCCGCAAAGCTCGTGGAATCCATCGTCAACATCTTCCAAGCTGAGATGAAGACGCACAACATCTCTTACAGTGTCACACCTGACACGTCGTTCTTGAGTCTAGGCATTGACCACCTTCATCTGGATCCGTCCCGCGTGACACAGGTCTTCATCAATCTACTGACGAATGCCATCAAGTTCGTCAAACCATCGAAAGAGCCAGCCCTCTCCATCCGCTATGGCGCCAGCACCTCAGATCCCCGCGAACTCTTTCCTGAAGACATGTTCTGGGCTACTGAGGGCAAGCAAGACGGCGATGTTACAAGCAATCCAGATTGGGGCACCGGTGAAGAAATCTTTCTTGCGTTCACCGTCAAGGACTCGGGAATTGGCTTGCAAGAGAAGGAAATTCACAAGATATTCGAGCGCTTCCGCCAAGCGAACGTGAAGACGCATGTCAAATACGGCGGCAGTGGGCTGGGTCTGTTCATCTCAAAGGAGCTTACTGAGAAGCAAGGCGGCGAAATAGGCGTGTCATCCATCCAGGGCCAAGGTTC